CTAACCTGAGAGGAAAAGATCATGCAGGCTAATATTATTGCACTGTCTCTGAGTCGGTTTCTCTTCGCAATATTTATTAACCTATTTGTATGATTTGTTCTGTAAATTGCCATTCATATTATTTCTCAGTCTCTATCACTGAGGGATGAAGAGACTGATGTCTGGTTCTTTAGGTTCTGACGGGTCTGCGGTTCCTCTCCTGACCCACTGTGCACCCTGAATATCGCCGACACAGTTTTTTAATTCCCCTATCAAACTTCTCTGTGATTGTTTAGCCTAGAATGTGCATCTTCCAATGTTATGTTATTTGATGTTATTGTTACAGGTCAGTTTTCTAAACTACAAAGAAATGACTGTTAGGGATGCTCCAATATGAAAAATTGGATTGATATTGATATCTGATAGTAACACTGGTGTTATAGCAGATTTACCAATATTTTATTTTATATATGTTTTTAATCCGATTACTCGATTAATCATCAGAATAATTAATAGATTACTCAGTTACTGAAATATTTGTTTACAGCAACGCTACTATCCATCCAGTTATCACTAGAAAATATTTATTGACTTTCTCTTGTATCTTGTCACATATGCTGAGCTGACAGCGCCTCTTAATGCTCATTTGTACTCAATGCATGTCAGCTATTCTGACAGAATAACGGCTCAAATTTAAGTTAAAGAAGGTCAGTGTTAGACCCGCCCAAAGCCCCGCCCTCCACTTTCATTGGGGAATTATTTTATGGTGACATGACAGGAACTGCAACCAGGTGATAATAATGATCACAACAATCAAAAGCATATTTAGTAACTGTCTTGTCTGGCTGCTAAGTTTCCATTTTCATAATGTAAACTTAGTAAATGACTTATTAACTAACTTGTGTCTTAAATAAACTCGTTAAATAATTTTATCATTGTACATTTTCACCTTTCATATTTAATCTTCCAAATTGTCCAATATTCATGTCAAATATTTTCAATTGGTTCATTTTGCCATTATTTTCTGCATGTGTGCGATTAACAACAATCAACCACTGCTACCAATTCTGCTGTGAATCCCAGGAAAGTAAAGGCTGAGATTTAGTTGTGCTTTTGAACGTTCTTCCTCTCTCTACATGGAGGAAGAAGATTTTATGTAATATTTGTCAGGAAGCTACTAGATTAAGCGATTGCCATCTTATTTGCTCACCTGGAGATCCTTAATATCATATTTTGACTCAAGAATAGTTCCAGTCTGGTCATTAGAATGGAGCAATGACCAGAATGAAACTAGTTCTGGTCATAGTTCCATTCTAGAACATCCAATGTTCTAGAACATAGAATGTTAACTTCTTAGTTGAGTTAATGTTCATTCTTGTAAGATTGTAATTTTCGAATAACCTAAGAAAATCCTGTTTCGATACATGAAGGCATCAAAGTGGATTTCTTGTTTGATTGACATTTAAAAAACTTTTTTTTTTTGTCTATTTCCCAGATCTTCCACAATGTTGTGTGTGTGAAGAAGAGGAGATTCTCAATGACACAAAACCACAGAGGAACCAACAAATCTCTCATGGCTCTGCAGAAACTGAGAACCAGGATCAGGAAGGAAGCAATTCTGAAGACCCAGGAAAAAAGAGAAAGGAAGAACAGAAACCAAAGGAGAGATATGAGAAAACCAAACAGCAGAAAGACAGAACTGATGCTGAGAAACAAAAACCGCAGAAGAAAACTCACAAAGGGCAAAAAATATATTCTTGTAAAATTTGTGATAAAACCTTTTCTGGAAACAGTAACTTGAAGAGACACATGAGAATTCACACAGGAGTAAAACCTTTCACTTGTTCAACCTGTGGAAAGAGTTTCAATGAAAGAGGGACTTTAACTAAACATATGAGAATTCACACAGGTGAGAAGCCTTTCTCATGTGGGACTTGTGGAAAGAGTTACAGACAAAAAGTGGCTTTAACTGAGCATATGAGAATTCACACAGGTGAGAAGCCTTTCACTTGTGGGACCTGTGGAAAGAGTTTCAATGTAAAAACGGCTTTAACTCAGCATATGAGAATTCACACAGGTGAGAGGCCTTTCACTTGTTCAAACTGTGGAAAGAGTTTCAGTGTAAAAGCGAATTTAACTGTTCATATGAGAATTCATACAGGTGAGAAGCCTTTCTCATGTGGGACCTGTGGAAAGAGTTTCAGACAAAAAGTGGCTTTAACTCAGCATATGAGAATTCACACAGGTGAGAAGCCTTTCTCATGTGGGACCTGTTGACAGTTTCAGGATGAAACAACAATTACTTAAACACATAAAGATTCATATGGATGTGAAACAGTGACGTGCGGTGAGGTTTTACGATGTATAAATACAGACACCATGTATGTTATTGGTTACTCAGAAATTTTGCTCATGCATACAACGCTGGAGGGCAGAAAGACCGTTCTTTTACACGTCATCCATAGCTGTAGTAACCAGGTGAAACTTAGAAATGTAGGTATTGTTTCGTGTTATGATCCACAGCAAAGGGAGAAACCTAAACCACTTTCTCACTCTGCATCACCCAAGCTACATGCAGACTCGTTGCAATAGCAACTGATAACAATGCCATGTTTTAGGATTTAACATAAAAAAATAAAGAATTTTGGTCACAGAACAGAACATTGAGTTTTTGCAGTAGTTTGTTTTAGTCTTAGTGTTTTATTAATAAATCATTGCTGTGGTAGATTAGCTAACATTTCTACTTTACTGAATTCTTTAGACATACAGACTGTGGCCCACAAAATGCACATTTCATTAAAAAACTAAACAAAAACATGTTTTTTCCCATCTTACCTTTACTTATAAATTAAATCCATGCCAATTCTGCACAAAAATATCCATTCATCCAAAGCCAAGTCGATGCTCTGAATGTCTGTACTAAGATAGACTTGAGGTCCATTTTTGTCTACCAGCTTTGTTTTTCTAAAATCAGTTTTTTGTTTTATTTCTCAGTCACATTTGTACTTAAGGTTCCCATCAGTGTCCCATTAGATACTGAAGTTAAAGAGGGGAATGTCTTCAGGAAGCTTTAATTTCTGTGGATTTCAGGTGTCTTGCAGTTCTGTGTCATGTAGTTATTGAGTTCAGCTTTTACATTGTTGACTTTTACATGTATGACTTGAAATAAAGTATTTTACATTTTAAAGCAGTGTATTATTCTTTTTTCCCATAAATTGCTGGGTTTCAGATGATGTAGCACCGATGCCTTACCATGGAGGTGGGGGTCAGAAAGTAAATGCAGCACATTTAGGCATTTTGACTTAAACATCAAAATGTCTTAAGTCTGTGCCATGTGTGGTTGTTCCAACCGTTCTAATAGAGAGAAAGAAAAACTTTATCTTTGTGTTTTGAAGGTAGTCGATCACAAGGAAGTTAATTTAGAAAAAAACACCTAAAAAATAGAAAAGTGGATCAACAATCTACAGCTAAAACCAGGAGGTGCAGGAAGTAATAATGCCGGAGTTTGCAGAGCCATTTTTCTAACATCATTTAAATTGTATTTTCAGATATTTTATTGGATGGTAACTTAGAAAGACAAGCATTCATATGCAGGCACATGCAGAGGGGGTCTGGAGAGGGCTTGAGCCCTGCCCCTTTTACCCTTGATGCCCCCAGAGCCCTTTTTGAGTTTATTTTTGTTTTCAACTTGAGTCTTTTGTGTCAGGAGGCCTTCTTGTGCCTCTAAATATAACATCTAGCAAAACTAATGAATCTGGCTGCCCTTGGTCTAATTATGAGGATTCCCAGTCCTTCTGCCTCCACGTTGTTCAGACACCGGGTCCGTGGCGAGGAAGAGCGGGGCTGAACTGTGACCTCTAACGGTCAACTTTTGGGCAATAATTAATTTTTCTAACGTACACTTGTGAATAAAAACGTTGGTCTGATGTTGAAGTTATAAAACCAGTTTCTATTTATATTTTGTAATAATGTCTGGAGGGCCCCTACCAGCAGCTACTGGGTTCTCTTTGTTTACCTTGATATCTCAGCCTTATCTAGATCTCAGAGGTGCTGAAATCAAATTAATGACATGTGAGAAGTTAACTGTTTATATATGAAGGTTTTCCTGATTACTTTTTGTTTCAAACAGGTTTTATTTCAGTCTCTATGTTTATGTAAATCGATTCTGTCACAGTCTTTGACTAAACAGAAAAAATAGAAAAAGACCATCATTATGATACTTTATCATCTAAAATTATATAAGTTTCAATAATTTTTCTATCTGAAATTCAATCCACATCGTCAAATCATTTTGTAAGGAGAAAATTTATTTAAAACCATGTCAAAGAAATGCATCCATTTCTCCAAATCATTAAAATAAAAATATGTACAAAGGATAAAAACACAATAAAGACTCCAAAATTTCAGAAGTCTAAATCTCAAAGCATTCAAACTCATTGTTTGTTAGACAATCTCTCCCTCAGTCTCATTCAATAAAATGGAAATATAAAACTGGCAGAATAAAATTTTTAAGAATTTCAGCTAAATATCCAGATTAAAATGCTTTGTAAGCAAAACCTGCTACATTTAAGAATTTAAGTCGGTTGCAATTACTCCACTTCCAAACAGCAACTTACTGAGAATCTTGAGGTTCACATTGTGCCATCAAACCTGTGCGAGTTCTCATGTGAACAGTTACATTTGTTTTGAGTGAACCTTTTTCTACTGAATCTACAGAATAAAAGCTTCCAACCCGTGTGAATCTTCATGTGATGACTTAAACTGGATCTATACACAAAACATTTTCCTCGCTTTTCACTAAGGGTGCAGACATGACATGGTGAGCTGGTCTAATAGTCAAACCTCACAGCGGAGAACAGAACAGTGGCTGAGGTCAATAACGTTGAGGAATCAGATCAGCTTCACATGCATGTATCTGCTGCTCACCAATGTCCCACAATTAAGGAAATCAACATTTATTAATCAGCCAGCTGATAAATCAATGCAAGCTACTTCTCACCTGTGTGAATTCTGTTGTGAGATGTTAAGCACTGTTTTTGAGTGAAACCTTTTCCACAAATCCCACATGAGAAAGGTTTCTCACCTGTGTGAGATCTCATGTGAACAGTTAAGATTTGCTTTTGAGAGAAACTTTTCCCACAGGTCTCACATGAGAAAGGTTTCTCACCCGTGTGAATTCTGATGTGATTAACTAATTTATATTTCCTCGAGAAACGTTTCCCACAGGTCTCACAGGAGAAAGGCTTCTCACCTGTGTGAATTCTGTTGTGAGAAGTTAAGTTCTGTTTTTGAGTGAAACATTTTCCACAAATCCCACATGAGAAAGGTTTCTCACCTGTGTGAGATCTCCTGTGAACAGTTAAACTTTGCTTTTGAGTGAATCTTCTTCCACAGGTCTCACATGAGAAAGGTTTCTCACCTGTATGAATCGTCATATGAGCAAGTAACTGACATTTAGACACAAAATTTTTTCCACAGATTGTGCATGTGTAAGATTTCTCACCAAAGAAAATTCTCTTGTGTCTGTTTAAAGAGTCGTTTAGATGGAAACATTTTCCACAAGCTGCACAAGTGAACGGTTTTTCACCTGTATGAATTCTCATGTGATTATTTAAACAACTCTTGTAAGGGTAACTTTTTCCACAGGTGGAACATTTGAAAGGTTTCTTAGCCGTATGAGTTTTCATGTGATTCATCAAGGAATTACTTTGAGAAAAGGTTTCATCACAAATTTTACAAGAATATAGATTTTGGTCTGGTTGAGCTTTCATGTGCGTTTCTTGTTCTGAAGTCTCTGTTGAGTTTTTCTGCTGTTTGTTCAAAATGTCATCAGTTTCCTGTTTCATCACAAGATGCTCTTCATCCTGACTGATGGAAAGTTGCTCCTCTTCCTCTTTGATCTGCAGAGGTTCTGGTTCCTCTTGTTCCTTTTTCATCTGCAGAGGATCTGGTTCTTCTTGATCCCATTTTATCTGAAGAGGTTCTGGTTCCTCTTGTTCCTGTTTCATCTGCAGAGGTTCTGGTTCCTCTTGATCCAGTTTCATCTGCAGAGGTTCTTGTTCCTCTTTTTCCAGTTTCATCTGCAGAGGTTCTGGTTCCTCTTGATCCAGTTTTATCTGCAGAGGTTCTGGATGATCTTGATCTGAAGTGAAGTTTCTCTCCAGGTTTCTGAGCTCATTTAGATCCTCCTCCTCTTTGCAAACACTGCATTGTGGGAGATCTGGAAAAAAAAAGTCAAAATGTGAGGTCACACAATGAACCCATCAGTTTAATTAACTAAAACTAAAATGAAAATATTCTTCATCAGGGGGCGTGCTGTGGTAGCACAACCCACGTTTGGAGGCCTTCAATCCTCCACACGGCCGTTCCGGGTTTGATTTCCGGACCAGACGATATTTGCCGCATGTCTTTCCTTACTACATTCCTGTCAGCCTTCTTTCTTATAAGGGACACTAGAGCCCACAGAAACCCCCAGGAGGGGAAAATGTATATATATTAATCAGCAAACATTATAAAATGAAATCTCTTCCATCGTCTTTCAGAGAGATTGTTACCTTATTTAGAATAAACAATGTCTGCATGTGGTTAATAATTTTACCAGCAATTAAACTTAATGCCGTCAAATGTGCCAACATTTGGAAATATGCAGTCTGGCTAGCTGACGTTAACTCCCCTTCAAGATTCGCTTCTCGCCAACAGGGACGTTACACCATATTCTGTGACCACTGCACATTGTGACTGTAGGAGGCGCTGTTGCAGGTTTACAACATACTTTGCTATTCTTATGGACACAGAATATGATGGCGCTTATCAAATAATGGTCCCACACTGTAACTTACAGTAAAGTACTAAATATTTAAACTGAACCGTCTCTATTAACTCTGCTTGCTAAGTCAATATCTGACCATTAGTATTATGACATTTCTTTTTAGTTAAATGAAACGGCCCTTTAAATTGCTTTACATAGTGTTATAGTCAAGACCATCTAAGCAGAGACCAAGACCAGCCGCCACATGACAATAAAATGTGAAATATTAGCAAAAGTGCTAATCAAATTGGTCTGAAAGATCCACATTCCCATAAAAACAAATCAATTTAACCAATATTATCAATTCAAACTCTTTGTTCTACTTTGCTCTGTGCTACAATCCATGGAAGTCTCATGCCAACCCTCAAAGATAACGCCCTGGGCGGTTGCCCATATTGCTCATATCAGAAACCACCATTGTCTGCACTATTAAACATAGCAATTAAGGCAATGCACTAGTGGTAAACAACGCTCCATCATGAACACAGACCAAGGAGCAACAAGCAGAAATAACCAAACACTGTGACAGTTCTCACTTTTTCTCCTGCTGCATGAAGCCAGGCAGCACAGAACTATCACAGAGCAATGAGCATGCTCTGTGTGCTCTGGTTTTATTGATTCACCAATTAAATTAATATCAATGTATACAATCAATTAAAATAATGACAGCTACTGCAGCTGTTTCGTACCTATCCGGTGCAAGATGATCTTGGGTATCCGGGTAAAATCCATCAGTCTGCGCTGATCGTCCATCTCTTCCTCCATCTTAACGTTGATTTCTTTCCACTCTGTGAATGTTTCTTCAGCAGGAGTTTCCTGCTGCTTGATAAACTCTCTGAGGCTGAACTGAAGACATTTTCACTGAAAACACAGAAATATTTAACTAAACTACAAAACAGTCTTCAAGAGGAAAAGTAAAGCCAGACATTTGCTCTGTTTTTATTTTTCACGTGTTTCACTGTTGCTGTGCTGAAGAAACTGGAAGTGATTATTAGTTTGGCTTTAAATTTTCTGCTGAGTCTCTTCTTTTAAAGTCCTGGAGGGCTGATGCCCTGAAACCTTTAGCTGAGCCTCTGCTGCACCACCTGAATAGAGTAATTAGGTCATTAAGGCTCTGCAGATCTGATCCACACAAGGAGGAGGTAATTATGGTGATTTCATTGCAGTGTTTTGTACCTGTGGCTCATCTAAACACTGCAGGTCACCTTGAGGACTGGAGTTTGACTCCTGTGGTTTAGTTACAATAGATCAGTCTGGAGAAAACACTGATGATGTTTTGTTGTTCTTGCAATAACTAATAAAGTCCTGATTCAGTGAAAGTCACATATATATTTTCTATTTTTATAAAGATATTTCAGATAAGTATAAAGTTAACCAGGATGCTTTCATTGTTCTGTTGGGTTAAATTTAAAGCCTTTAGTTAATATTTAGATGTAGATTTATTCAACCTTCCTAATGTTACGTTAATAAATTGCTGCACTTTTAGCTGCTGTTCAATCTGCCAGGTTTCTGCAACCTGGATCTCTGGAGACTCAAGAGGCTCTTTGGCTCATTTATTATATCAAACTATAAAATATTGATCTGTCGTTTTGTTTCATTCTTTTTTAAGTGTCGTCATGAAACCGATCACATTGGCCCTTGTGGTAAATTTGGCCTCTAAACCAAACTCCTTATAGGTATCAATATTTTCAGAAATTCTCTTTAAAATACCAGAATATTCACATAACTGTTATACTTTTGTCAGTCTGAGGAGACACTGAATATTGAATTAGGTGTTATGATCAGTTACTCAGTAATTCACCAAATACTTCAAAAGAAAATACAGAGGAAGAACATTGTTCCAGCAGGAATATTAAATAAATAGAATGATAAACCCTGACCTTTACTATTATATAAGATCAAAATATAGTTTATGTTCCATGACTCCTTCACTTCTAACTCACCAGTTTAAGTACTGAAGGTTGTTTAAAATGATTAATTGTACTTGCTTTGAATTTTAAAGTTTTGATTATTTAGGTTCATTCTTTGTTAAATTATGGCTCATTTTGTTTATCTCTTATTAGTATAAATAACTCAGTCTGTTAAGTGTTGAATGAAAAGAATATCGACTTATTAGAATGTATGCAACGTTGAGGAAGAGATGATCTCTGTGGACTGCTGCTGTTTATGTATATGAAGGTTTTCCTGATTTACTTTTTGTTTTTAAACAGGTTTTATTCCAGCCTCTATAATTATGTAAATCTAGTCTTTCACACAGTTTTCTACTAAACAGGAAAAAAGAAAAAGATCATCATTATAATAGTTTATTTTCTAAAATTATATAAATAGTTTCAATCTGAAATTCAATTTATATCATCAATACATTTTCTAAGCAGGAAAATTATTAAAACCATGTCAAAGAAATGCATCCATTTCTCCAAATCATTGAAATAAAATAAATTATTACAAAGAATAAAAACACAATAAAGTTTCCAACATTTTAGAAGTCTAACTCTCAAATCCTTTAAAGTCATCGTTTCTTTAGAGACAATCTCTCCCTCAGTCTGATTAAATAAAATAGAAATATAAAACTGCCAGAATAAAATCCAAGTCGGTTGCAATTACTCCACTTCCAATCAGCAACTTACTGAGAATCTTGAGGTTCACATTGTGCCATCAAACCTGTGCAAGTTCTCATGTGAACAGTTACATTTGTTTTGAGTGAACCTTTTTCTACTGAATCTACAAATAAAAGCTTCCAACCGTGTGAATCTTCATGTGATGACTTAAACTGGATCTATACACAAAACATTTTCCTCACTTTTCACTAAGGGTGCAGACATGACATGGTGAGCTGGTCTAATAGTCAAACCTCACAGCGGAGAACAGAACAGGGCTGAGGTCAATAACATCGAGGAATCAGATCAGCTTCACATGCATGTATCTGCTGCTCACCAATGTCCCAAAATTTAGAAAATCAACATTTATTAATCAGCCAGCTGATAAATCAATGCACAGCTTATTCTCACCAGTGTGAATTCTGTTGTGAGATGTTAAATAGTGTTTTTGAGTGAAACTTTTTCCACAAATCCCACATGAGAAAGACTTCTCACCTTTGTGAGTCTACATGTGATGAAGTAAAACAGACCTAAAGGCAAAACATTTTCCACAGGTCCCACATGAGAAAAGCCTCTCGCCTGTGTGAATTCTCATGTGAAGATTTTAAATTTATTTATAAGTAAAACGTTTTCCACAAGTTCCACATGAGGCTGTGTGCGTTCTCATGTGATCAACTAACTGAGATAAGTTGATCTCAGTAATTTCTTCCACAGGTGCCACAAGACATTGTCTTCTCACCTGTGTGAACTCTCATGTGAGCAGTTAAACTTCTTTATGAATGAAACTTTTTCCACAAGTCCCACATGAGAAAGGCTTCTCACCTGTGTGAGTTCTCATGTGATCAACTAAATGAGATTTATACAAGCAATTTCTTCCACAGGTGCTACAAGAGATTGTCTTCTCACCTGTGTGAACTCTCATGTGAACAATCAAACTTTTTTTATAAGTGAAACTTTTTCCACAGGTCTCACATGAGAACAGCTTCTCACCTGTGTGAACTTTTATGTGACTAGTCAAGTCAGGTTTCCTCCGGAAACATTTTCCACAGGTCCCACAAGAGAAAGGCTTCTCACTTGTATGAATCCTCATGTGATCAAGTAATTGAGGCTTAGACACAAAACATTTTCCACAGATAGCACACATGTAAGGCTTCTCACCTGAGTGGGTTCTCATGTGTCTGTTTAAAGTGACAATGTGTAGGAAACTTTTTCCACAGGTTGAACATGTGAAAGATTTTGTGCCTGTGTGAGTTCTAATGTGCATCATAAAGGAATTATTTTGAGAAAAGGTTTCATCACAAATTTTACAAGAATATAGATTTTGGTCTGGTTGAGCTTTCATGTGTGTTTCTTGTTCTGAAGTGTCTGTTGAGTTTTTCTGCTGTTTGTTCAAAATGTCATCAGTTTCCTGTTTCATCACAAGATGCTCTTCATCCTGACTGATGGAAAGTTGCTCCTCTTCCTGTTTCATCTGCAGAGGTTCTGGTTCCTCTTGTTCCTCTTTTATATGCAGAGGTTCTGGTTCCTCTTGTTCCTCTTTTATATGCAGAGGTTCTGGTTCCTCTTGATCCAGTTTTATCTGCAGAGGTTCTGGTTCCTCTGGTTCCCGTTTTATCTGCAGAGGTTCTGGTTCCTCTTGATCCCGTTTTATCTGCAGAGGTTCTGGTTCCTCTTGATCCCGTTTCATCTGCAGAGGTTCTGGTTCCTTTTGATCTAAAGTGGAGTTCTCCTCTGGGTTGCTGATCTCATTGAGATCCTCCTCCTGTTTACCACATTTTGAGAGATCTGAACAAAAAGACAAAACAAGCTTGAAATGTGAGTCAAACAATGATCTCTACACTTTCACTTACAAAAACTAAAGTAAAAAACATTCTTCAACGAACCCTAACCCATTAAATATAAAATCACAGCAGTTCATCTTTTGGAGTGATATTTTCTTACATTTGTGATATGAAAGGTGTTTTATGCATTTTCTTTAGAGATATTTCATGATGATTTTCACCCTGAAACCTTTTTTGGCTTTGGCTTAATCATTAATATAAAGATTTTGTTTTATGTTGAGAGAATTAACTTTAGTTTTCACAATTTTCGAGAAAAAAAAACATATTTTTGAAAATTAATGTGGTTGTATTTATAGTAAAGTGTTTGAATTCACAAATATCTCAATAAGACGTCTCCCTATTTATGTTTGTGGTCTCATGTGTACCAGTAACCTGATTAATCAGTAAACCGTGAAGCTGTTTCGTACCTATCCGGTGCAAGATGATCTTGGGTATCCGGGTAAAATCCATCAGTCTGCGCTGATCGTCCATCTCTTCCTCCATCTTAACGTTGATTTCTTTCCACTCAGTTCAGCCTCAGAGAGTTTATCAAGCAGCAGGAAACTCCTGCTGAAGAAACATTCACAGAGTGGAAAGAAATCAACGTTAAGATGGAGGAAGAGATGGACGATCAGCGCAGACTGATGGATTTTACCCGGATACCCAAGATCATCTTGCACGGATAGGTACGAAACAGCTTCACGGTTTACTGATTAGTGAGGTTAAATGGTACACATGAGACCATAGACAGGAGACGCCACAGTGTCCTCTGTGCTCTATTGGGGACATGTCTCCGTTTGGTCCGATAATGGACATTATAGGGTGGCCTTTTATTGTCCCAGTCCAAGGATTGTCCAGTTGTTGCTCATTTTGTCCGATGCCCCTCTGGACATGCCCCAGACATGCACTGAGTAAAAACAACAATCTGAGTAATGCTCACTGACAGCAAAATAAAAATTATACACAAATCAAGACCAGTATTAAATTTGTATAATGAAATGTCAGGAAATGCTCATCGGCAGTTGTTAACGCCACATGGCAACAATGTTTGAAATGGGGTGTTGATATTTTTGTTCATATTTAAAATAAATAACTGAAATTATTTATTCAGTACTTGATAAGTTTTTGTATGCAGACAACTGATCAATTTTCTCATTGCAAGTGCTGATGACTGATAACACACCTGGAAATAGACGAAGGAGATTTTTGGAATATTTACTGAGCTATCATCATATTCACTCAACCAGAAGTTTGTTATATATTTTGACTCATCTAGTTAAGTTAATTTTTTATTTTTACAAGTTTTTAATTTAACAATAATTAATGAAAATCATGTTTCAGACACCGGTTTCAATCTTTGACTGACGTTTAAATGCTTTTGTTTTTGTTTTGTTTTGTCCAGATCTGTGTAAAGAGGAGGAGGATCTGAATGAGCCCAGCAACCAGGTGGAGAACTCCAATTTAGATCAGGAGGAACCAGAACCTCTGCAGATGAAACAGGAACCAGAACCTCTGCAGATAAAACAGGAACCAGAACCTCTGCAGATAAAACAGGAACCAGAACCTCTGCAGATAAAACAGGAACCAGAACCTCTGCAGATAAAACAGGAACCAGAACCTCTGCAGATAAAACAGGAACCAGAACCACTGCAGATAAAACAGGAACCAGAACCTCTGCAGATAAAACAGGAACCAGAACCTCTGCAGATAAAACAGGAACCAGAACCACTGCAGATAAAACAGGAACCAGAACCTCTGCAGATAAAACAGGAACCAGAACCTCTGCAGATAAAACAGGAACCAGAACCACTGCAGATAAAACAGGAACCAGAACCTCTGCAGAAAAAACAGGAACCAGAACCTCAACAGCTCAAAGATGAAGAGAAGCAGCTCCACATCAGTCAGGATGAAGAGCAACAAAATGAGAGATGTCAGAAAACCAAACATCAGGAAAGTGCAACTGACAGTTCAAACCAAAAATCATATTCTTGTGAAGTTTGTAAAAAAATCTTTCCTCGAAAGAATTCTTTGCCTAGACACATGATGATTCACACGGGAGAGAAACCTTTCACATGTCCAGTCTGTGAAAAAAGTTACAGGTACAAGAAAGGTTTAATTTATCACTTAAAAATTTACAGAGGTAAAAAACCGTCCCCATGCTCAGTCTGTGGAAAACAATACCATTTAAAGGACAGTTTAAAGAACCACATGAGGATTCACACGGGTGAGAAGTCTTTTTCATGTGTGATCTGTGAAAAAGTTTCCCTCTGAATGGTAATCTTTCTGCACTTTAAAGTTCACAAAGGTCAGAAGTCTTTTTCTTGTGTGACTTGTGGAAAAACTTTTCGGTTTCAATGTCATTTACTTCGTCATATCAGAAGACACACAGGTGAGAAGCCTTTCTCTTGTGTGACTTGTGGAAGAAGTTTCACTCGGAAAAGCAATTTAACTATTCATATGAGAGCGCACAAAATGGCATGATGTCAACCGTAACTGTCTGTGGCGCACCTGAAACTGTTGCCACATTATTTTGGTTGTTTCATAATTTTCATGTGTAATTTTTTCTATTTTTTCCAAAAATGAAGAAGTTATATTTTATTTGCATGGGATGTTAATCTGCCTGCATCTATAGTGATTTCTTCAGGATGGAATGGGAGCAGTAGTGGAACCTTTGTTTGGGGGGACGTTGCTTCTGGGTTGGTTTTGGGGCGGACTTCCAGTTTGCAATCTGGATGCTAACTGCAGCGCATAGACTGTATGCAATGTAATCACTGATGGGTTACAAATGAATTGCGCAAAAACAAGGATTATGTTTTACCACCTTAAATGAAACATGTACTTGAATGTAACCCGTTACTAAACAGTTCTGGTTCAGAGATGCAGAAGCATCTCAAAGAAACCAGCGTCAGATTTCTAAGAAAGCTCTCGGATCACAGCTGGGAGAAACAGGAAGTCTTTATTCGCTCCTCTGACCCACCAGATCTTTTAAATCTTTATGAAAAGACTTATGTCTTCTCATAAAGATCCTCTGGAGTTTTCAGTCCTGAATCTGGACTGATGGCGACTGAGCCGTCCTTCTGTCAGACGGTCTCTGACGTACCGGACCCGTCCTAGAACCGGTCCGTCTTGAGGCTCTGGAAGAACATCAAGACAGAAAAATTATCACTGGACATAACACAAGTATAGTTTCTCCAGCAATTATGCTTGAAAATTGTGTTTGTAAATGAACTAAGCAAAGAAAAAAAAATCAATATGTCTTGTTTTATTTTTTTTATTGCTGCTTGTTGTTATTTCCTGGTACCATGGTGATGGTCGGTTCTATTTTTAACCTCTTCCTTCGTTAAAGAAAGTTGACAAAATCATGTAAACGCATCGCTGGTTTGTTACTAGAAAGAAGAGAAAATGACTTCATACTAAATAGTTTTCAACCGCTCAGTTTTAACTGTTTCTCCTGCTTTATGATGCATTCAGGTTCTGATTTTTTTAAATTGTTAATATCAGAAATTTTTCCAAAAAGCTGATCAATTTACGCCGTGTATCTCAGATCAACATAAAGTGATGGAGAAACTTTTTAACTGATTCACCTGGGATTGGGTGAGTTTTTCCTTCCTGTGTGACGCTGACAGTGTAGGACACAACGCTGTCCACTGACCCTGCAGAAACAAACAATTCATTCTGACACAAAATGGATCAAACGTGGGTCAAAGCTCAGATTCCAGTTGTGCAATGCAGCGAAGTCCATTGTCGATTATTTTATGGCAAAGAAATTATTCCTCAACCGGAAAGTTTAAAGATGATCTTCAGAAACAAAATTACAATTTAATTTAACTTAAACAAATAAAAACAGAGAAAAAGTTTCTGAGCCAAATCTAATTTAAGTCATTAAATTAGCAAAAGAAAGTCATTAAAGTTCATCTTTTATGTTGAACATATTAAACTCTTAAATGAAGATGCATAAAAAACTGATGACTAAAACATGTTTTATTGTGATTAAGAGCAAATATAGCAGATTAAGTTTGCAGCACAGTTTATAATTGATCATCAATGATGTTTTCAGTTCTTTATGCAGAATATAACACCTTGTTACCAGTTACCTGTTTTAAAAACGAGTTTATATATTTCAGGAAATAAAATCCAACATTCAACAGGAAACAATCAACATCTAATAACTTTGTTAATAATTATAGGTTATGGAGCTTTTTATTCTCGTTTCATGCACATTCCTCCACGTTTAATAAGAAACACTCCAACAAAAAAATGTCTGTTTATTAGAAAAGACACTGACCTTCATTGTTTTTCCAGAAACAGATCAACGTCACGATCAACAGGAAAGAGCCGGCCACGGCAGGAAGCAGGAAGTCTGCGAGGGCAGCAGTAGGCGTGTGACGTCTGCGCCCTTTAAGACAAAAACGTAGCTGCTGTGAAATTGTTGTTTATTAGAAAAGACACCGACGTTTGCGGTTTCTCCAGACGCAGAGCAGCAGCTTCACATTCAGCATCACGTTCAGCAAAACGCCGACCACGGCAGGAAGCAGAAAGAGCGCGAGGGCAGCAGCAAACGTTTGAGGCCTGCATCCTGAAAGATGAAAGCGTAGCAGGTTGACTGGCCTACATACAAACAATATGGGCAGAGTTGGGTGATAACTAGTTACATTTAGTCAGTTACATTTGCTTGAATCACTTTGTTTTTTGAAAAATGTTCTTTTAGGAGTATTTTCACTGTGGCAGCTCTATATTGACTCTACATACACGGTGGCGGCAGGTTGTAAACTCAATAAAAACCAGAACTGCTCTAAACTTTAGAAATAAAACGCCTTCTGAAGAAAGACGTTCAAATTTATACAGAATGAAATGGATTTTTATGGTTACGTCTCATTTACCTGAAGCCACTGGGGATTAATAAACAGGTAATTCAGTTTCCGTTCAGTTCATTTAAACACGACTTTAAAATTAAAGTCATCTGAGTCGCCAAAACAATTAAAATATTTTCAATTTGTTTCATATTTATTTTGGATTCACATCATTCTAATCCAATAAAGCTTCAAATGTAAGTAATAAATATCATAAAACAAGATAATGTTGGGTTAATTCTTTTAAAATGAACGGGCAGCTCTACAAAAATGTAAAAGTATAATAGTTAATATTTTTTCTCTTGCATAAATATGATAAAACATGAAGTGAAGCTTAAAGCTGCAATCAGACACATAGTTAATGCCTGTTACTTTTGTTTGGTTTTTATGATTTAAAACACTTTCAAATGTCATGTTGATGAAATATGTATTACAGATAAACTTTATTGATTTATTGGTGGATTGATAAGAGGCGGCTCTTTAAATCGTGTCAGGATTTCCTCACCTCTTACTGCCAGCCAGGTTTCTGCTGACTCTCCGACTCCAGAGGCGTTACGTTTGTAGAATCCTTCATCGGATTTAGAGGCGCTCCGGATGGTGAACCGTCCCGTGGAGCTGCTCCCGACCAGAACCCAGTCTCTATAAAAACGGGTCAGACTGGAGGACAATGGTGGCCTGAACCTGCAGTGAAGCGTCAGGGCTGCTCCTTCACTGACTGGACGTTCAGGTCGTTCCAGGATCAGTGATCGATCTGAGAAACACAATGTTGAATATTTAACAACCAGATTCAAGTGAACAAACCTTTTATGAACATTTTTTACTCATGTCTCATATGAACCTGTTTGAGCTGATTCTATCAGATTTAATCTCAATAAACAGCAGAAAACACGACTTGGTTTTAGACATTTCTTTGATTCTCTCCTGAAACTCATCAGGATCAAAACTCCTCTGTAACATCAATCAATAATCAATCAATAAATACTTTCTTTTAAATTAAATACTTAAATACATCAATCAACAAATACTTTCTTTTAAATTAAATACTTGCAAATAAAAGCTGAGTTATATTTTCCCATTACTTTAAACATGAGGGAGAACAGGTTAATCTGTTAATCTGTCTATTATAGATTTAATATTCTGTAGTATGACAGAAGATCAGGGCTAAGAAAATTACAATAAAATTACCAGAATAAAGTACAGATTTATTCTGGTAATTTTGTGACTTTATTCTCACATTATTAGGATTTTATTCTTGTATTATTTAAATTTGTTCTCATAATATTGTAATTTATTCTAATATGGCTTCATTCTGGTAATATTCAGACTTTATGTTTCCTAATATTATAACTTTATTCTCATATTTGTATTTTTTTTCTCAGTATGGCCCTAATACTCCATCAGACTGCAGGCCTGTTTTTCCTCATGCAAACATTTTTAGATATTTGTTGCCTTCAGTTTTGCTCTGATTTATGAGGAAACACAGAAACATCAAGCTGAGAAAATCAAACTCTGATGTTTGATTTTAATATAATGTTTCTGTCATCTAAACCTCAAATGTTTGACTTCATAAAGTTTTTATCTACATCCTGTTTGGTGTTTTTGGGTCTTTTCTGTCTCTGCCAGACCACAGACAGTCGTCTCTCCTCCCACTGAGTCAGTCTGAGTGTTAAAGTTTTCTCCCACCTGTCACGCTGACGTTAACGGCGTCGCTGCGTTCGCCTGCTGCAGATTCACACCAGTAAACTCCAGAGTCGAATTCATACAGCTCAGATGAGATGCACTCAGTTTCAGCAATGTGGGTCGAATAAGAGGGACAGAGTGCATTAATTTGTTTTGATGTATTTCGTCTGACTCTAAACTCAGATGAGTTTCCCTCACAGCTCAGAGTCACAGACTCATACTGGAAGAACTGGGATCTGCTGGGAGAGAGTCTCAGGCAAACTGCAAAGACGAGAAAATGATCTTCAGAATCTGTTTATGGTTTATTTACATCACAGATTAACGTTAATCCCATTTAAATGATTGATCAGTTGAGGTTATTTAGTTAAGACAGAATCACATTTACTTGTTTTCTCAGCTGCGTTGCTGTTGAGCAACTAGAGAAGTTGATGCAACTCAGAGTCGGTTACTGTTGCTCATCATAAATAATCGATCCGACCTGATAAATCTATAGCGATCAATGAGCAGGAAATGATCTGATCTGGAGGAGCAGTAAAACTTTCCCCCGCAACAAAGTAATTATTGAGCAGAACATGGTTTTTATGAAAAACTTTCTAGTTTTTGTTGTATTTTAGTGACGGTGAGGTTAGATCTTGACTTGAGAGAAATGTTTTACTAAAGTTTCTTCTGGATTAAAAAAGAAAAATAAATAAATCTAAACCTGAAAAGTGAATAAGAATCAATAAAACAGAAGATGGTTCAGAAATAAACCATATTTAAAGAGTCTGTAAAGTGAATTAAAGCAGATTTTGACTCACCAGCGACGGCACAGAGAGCTGTTATCTCCATCCTGAGCTGCTGAACCGACAGACAGACGTTTGTTCATCTCGTCTCTGGTTTTGTGTCAAACGAACCGCAGCTTCCTGCCAGAAAGATCAAAGGTATGAAACTCAGTGTGGGTCAAACACTTCGGCCCTCTGGACTCTGCAGGAATCAGTGGAAAGTCATCATCACTCTAACCGCTGGTGCAGTTTGCAGCTGCAGGAAATATCAGATGAAATTAAAGGAGCATTCCCAAACTTCACTCCATAAAGATCCAAAATGGCGTCTCTCAACTCTATATGATGCTCCATCAGATAAAGACACTTGTTGCTTCACACTGATACAGAAACAGCAGAGTTTGTCCTCAACATTAAACCAGCATTATATGGCTTACTGGTGTTACTGCGCCCTCTGGTGGAAAAAAGCAATCACAACAACAAATTGCTTCTAAACAATTTCTGATTATTAGCAAACTGTGTTTTGATGAAAGATAAAAAAAAGACACTTTTGATATTGAAATTTAGAAATTCTGATGTATTTTTTTATTTGTAAATGATTTGGCTTCTTCTTCTTGTTTTTGGATATGAATGTTTTTTTGTTTTTTTAGGTGTTGAACCTTCGTTGGATCAGAACCAGCACTGTTCAGGAAAAGTAGCCTGAGCGTCTCCTGATGAAAGCTGGAGACAGAGAGAGAAGAGAACAAAGCACAGAAACATTTTCATCTTAAAACATTTGTGCTTTCAGTTTTGTTTTTCATGATTTAGTTTGAAACAAGGTGTGGTTTGTGCATGTTGAAACAGGACACAAAGGGGAGTATAAGCTCTGTTCTTCTGGCTCAGTTCCCAGACGCAATAACGAATGTGTTGTGACTAATCCTGCATCACACTAAGATCCAAAAACCCCAAATCCCAGATAGTGCCTCAGGAGGAAGTGTTCAACTCACTCAAAATAAAAAACACTCTCTGAGAGTTTTCTGGTTTCTAAAAGGAGCGTTTTCTTTACTTATTAAAATAACAGAAATATTCTCTGAGTTGACTTCATGCAAAAGTTAAAATATAAACATTAATTTAGTTTTGAAAACGGTTTCACTCCTTCACCAAACGAGGAAGCTGAGAAGAGCAAAGACGAGCCGATTTCTGGATTTAACTCTGATTTTAAATCTTCTGATGCTTCAGTTTACAATCAGAAGCTTTAATTTAGGAGTTTTCAGTGAAATGAAGATCCAAATGGCTTCAGTGGAGATGCTGAGAATGGAAATGATTTATATTCACTGATGGTGACAATCTGCTGACATAACATATATTTAGATCTAATCTGCAGCATCTAGAAGCAGATTGTCTACAGAGAGACCTATAGGTCTGATGCAAAACTGAACATTTACTCTGAAGACGTCTTTCCTCCTTTAGTTTAGTTTTTTCAAAATGACACAAACTTCCTGTTTTATTACTGGAAGATAATAAAGCAGAACCTGGACTAATGCCAGAACCAGCATTGAAAGGTACCAGCATGTCATGACTTGTTTTAGGAACAAGTTTCCTGATACAGATCAGGACAAGCAGAGATAAAACAGCTGCTCAAACATTTCACAGACATTTCCATTATGATGTTTTAACTGAACATTGTTCCGTGTTTTTCCCTAATTAAAATATCATATTATATCTTTTTATGATTATTTTGATAAACTTCTTCACTCAAACACCATTTATTCCCATAATCAGCACAAACTCACAATCAGAACTCCACAAATTTGCTCAAAATATTTTATCATGTTAATAATACATTGTAAAAACACAACAAATATTACAAAAATCACTTATTTCTTAGACAAGCCTGGTATCAGAACTATAAATGTTCTGCTGATCTTCCTGCTGTTACATCATTAAATATGAAGAAATGAAAAGTCGACCATTAGGAGCAGAAATCGTCTCTATTCAGCTTCTCTGCAGTTTCTGCAGTAAAGTTAACATTACATCTCTCAGGACAGAGGTCTCACTCTGTCTGATTCTGAAGGATTTATTGCTGATGGAGATTCAGCAGAAAATAACCGTCCTCTAAACCTTTACATGGTTTCTGGATGTTGTTCATTGTCCACTAAACTCCACTGAAGGTTTATCAATTCTGAGTCACTGTGTTTAATTTCTGCCATCTGGTCTTTAATCATGTTCACCTTTGACCTTGTGTGGTTCATATCTGCTGGTTTATCAATGCGTAAAATTCACTTTGACTGAAAATGTCTAGAATTGTGTAAAATATAAATTTTACCAAACTTATTGATCAATGTGGAAGAAATCTGTCAATAGTTATAAGCATATTGAATGATGTGATGTTTATATGAATTGTTCACAAAGTCAGTTTGAGATTGTTCAGTAGGTTTTCTGTTAAGACACGTTGGTAAAGGTGGAGCTTGTTTTGAACTCAGAGAGGTTTGTAATTTATGATGCATGTTGGAACCTGCTGAGGCTGGAAAGAGAGAAATGAGACACAACAGACACAAGAGCCTGAGAAACACCTGGATTCTCCTGGACTGCAGACGTGGATCAGGAACGCGGTTGGATTTTATGTTGTGACGGATCTGAGTAAGTTTATCATATTTATTTCCAGTTTTTAATATTCTATGTAACATGACAGAATATTAAAGTCATTGCAGGTTAAGGAACCAAAGGGAAGCATTTTATATCAGAAAGTGTTTATGTTTTGTTTGTAATAAATATGTGAAATTAATCTAGATGTTTCTGGGTTATAGATTAAAAATATAATCCTCTATTTCCATATTTTTTTTAATCTATAATGTCTATATTGACTATTTACTGTTATTGATAAAATCTCTTAAAGTAGCTTCTTTCTAGTTTTACAGACTTTGTTTCATTTTTTTGAGTTACAGTTGTTCCTTGTACTGATGTTCTGCTGCCTCTCCTCCTCTTCCTCTCTCAGGATGAAGATGATGTCCAGCATCCTGCTGCTCCTCATCCTCAGCTCATGTCTCTGTGGTCAGTCTCCATCTTGTCTTTGTGACAGAAAGCTCTCTAGATGGAGCTGAAAGACTCCCATGTTCCAGTTCTCAGTGTGTCTGCTCCTCTCTTTCCCTCTCTGTCTCCTCAGCAGCAACATTTGTAGTGAATGTGACACAGAGCAGCTATCAGGCAGAGGAGAAGCAGAACATCACTCTGGAGTGGACCTTCACCACCAAGACTCAGGGAACCTGGAAGCAACTGTTCATCTACTGTGAAGCGAACACGGATCATGGAAACTTAGTTCTCTATGAGTTTCATAAAGGAGTTGAGATTCCAGAGTCTCAGGATGATCAGTTTTCAGGACGAGTCCAGAGCGACAAAGACGTCCTCAGAGAAGGACGAATCAGACTCCATGTGTCCAGACTGAGGACTGAAGACTCTGGTCTGTATCTGTGTGACGTGAAAACTGGAGATGGATCCAACTCTGGAAGATGTCGACTCAACGTTTCTGGTGATAAGAAATATTTTACTCTGATAAAATCCTGAGTTGTTGAACATCTTCATCTTCTCCATGAATCCTCCTGGATCTCAGTTTCCATCAAACATTAATAAATATTTCTGATTTCTCTCCCAGCAGCTGCTGATCAGATCCAAACTCAGAGACCAAGATTGACTCCAGAACCAGAGAGACGAGGAAGGAACATCATCATCATCACTGTGGGACTGACAGCAGCAGCTCTGATGATTCTAATAATAATGTTGATTAATTGGTTTAGGATGAAAAAAACAATCCAGATAACAAAGTTGTTCATGATAGTTTAGTTGAAAACTAATTTTTCCAGCACAGAAATATCAGATTTATTTCCATTTATTCTGATCAACATGTTGGATCATCAATGAAAGTTTGTAATAATGACGACTTTCATGTATTGTTGTTGTTTTAGAAATTTTAAATAATTTCTAAAGGTTTCTGGACTCAGTAAGAATTATTGACCAATTATTATGTCTGATAACTGATCAATAATTAAGACTGAACCATTGATCAGATATTGGTTCATTGATCATCAGTCATTTTGGGGTTTTTCACATCATCACTGGGATCAAACTGATGTTTGTTACGTTTACATAAATGTTTTTTTTAAAAAAAATCTTCCTATTGTTGAATTTTGCAGATATTAAATGTTTATTTTCACAGATATTTTTAATAAATACTTTTATAAATATGTTATGAAATGAAACATCTACAGATTTTGAAGAGTTTGTTATAAAAATAAACTTTTCCCTATTTTTAGGTGAAATCAAAAAATTAATTTCAAAAGGGACATTTTTATATGTTAAATTTATTTTAGAAATCAACACAAAACATTGACATAAAAGTGTTTTGGTTTCCTTTAACATGAATCTTTACCATCAGTATTATTTTGTTGTTTCTTTGTTGAAACATTGTAAATATGAAAGTTTGCAATTCATTACAAAATGTGTTACATTTTCAACAAGTTGAAAGTTTTTAATTTAAACTTAATGTTTCAACTCAAAGTGTCTCAATATTTTTCATATTTGATCAAATTCATTTTTGTGAATCTGTGAATCTTGTGGTTTTATATCAAGTAATGTGGGATTGTGTTACTGTGAGCTGCTGAACTGAATTTATCTTACTGTAAATATTGTAAAATGAAGAAGCTGAAGTTTAATAAATATAACTAATGTGATTTAAAGAAGATTTATTAGTACAATAAAATAATAACATGTCTGTGTTGTTGTTCTGCTGCAGGAAGATAAAATCTAATAAATCCTCTGTGTTGTGATAGAAACTCTGGTCTTTATGTGAGCCACTTTCTGTAGATGAAAAATCATTTATTAAAGTTATTGAAACTCATTTTAACAATAGAAAATGAAAACATTTTAGAAAATTACTTCAACTCATTGGTTTTCACAAACTGCAGAAACATAAATGGTTTTGGTTAAAAATGTTCAGCAGTAAGAAACACAGTGAAAAGTGAAAAAAGCTTTAATTGTATTTTACTGAAAATAAAATGTATTAAAAGTATAAAATCTGAGTTTTCTCATTATTCTCATTATTAACAAACTAATTAAAAGTCTTTGATCTGATGACAGTGAAGGTGTTTTTATCTGCAACACGTTTCATGAAGCTCCCTTTTCTTAGGAAATTAGTATTAGGAAATGTATTTTAATTTTTAAGCACATTTTCAACAAGGCAATTCAAAATGCTTCACATGAATTAGAAGAAAATACTAGAAAACAACAAACTAAAGGAAAGAGTAAAAGCAGAAAAATAATCTAATAATGTTGATCTAAAAGTATAAAAACTAAAAACTTCTGTTCTAAGAGTTTTTAGTTAAATAAACTTAAATAGTTTATTTAATCCAGAGCTTAAATAAACTATTAGTCTCTTTAAGCTAATAGTTCAGAGGTTTTCCTTCAGAATAAAAGCTGAACTTCAGATTCTCCAACAGAAATAATTTTATTTTCTTGTGTCGCTTTAAGAAACTCTCAATGCTGTAGAACTCCTGCGCTTCCATTAGCAGCCAGCAGGGGGCGCTGTGAGTATAAAACGAGGCTCCTTCTCCTGCCTCTTCCTGCTCTGACTTGGTGACACTTCAGATGAGTTTTGTTTGTTTGGTCAACAATATTTTATTATCTATTTTATTTAACCAGGTGAACCTGCTGAGATCTAGATCTCATTTTCTAGAGGAACCTGAGCAGAAATCTGCAACTCACAGCAACCTGGAGACAAAGTCAAACTAATTTATACATAGACTTATTGTCATTGTACAAAAAAGAAAACACAAGGTGAATCTTGACAACAAAATGTTGTTACTTGGCTACCAGTGTAACAGAGCTAAAATTTATACTACACAATAAATAAATAATAGCTAAATAAATATATAAGAGCTAAGAATAAAGTGCCATAGAATCCACAGGTTCAGTGTTATAAACAAAACTAAACTAAAGTGTGTGTGTGTGTGTATGTGTGTGTGTGTGTGTGGGTGTGTGTGTGGGTGTGTGTGTGTGTGTGTGTGTGTGTGAGTGTGTGTGTGTGTGTAGGTGTGTGTGTGTGTGTGTGTGTGCGTGTGTGTGTGTGTGTCCTCCATTGATTTAAGACCCGCGACTAAGATACCGCGCTTATAGCCAAAATATTTTCTGCAGATGAATGCCTCATCGGTGCATTAAAACACTTTATGTGGAAACGGTAATGCAAATCGCACTTGCCGGTGCACTTATTACAGTAATAACACATGAATCCCTGTCCGCAGTCTAATGCGCTGCATGGTTACCTCGCTGAAGTTTCCATCTCTGCGCCGTCATTAATCGGCTCCATTCATAAATAACCACTTCCTCCTTTTGCTACAGCAGTAATGCATGTTTTGCGAGGAGCACTTATCATAAAATCCATAAGCTGCCAAGATGCCTGAAGTAAAACCTTTTAAAGAACAGAGACTCTCCAGAAAGCTGCCAATGAGCGCAATGAACATAAATTTATTACAATTAAAGAGAGAGCGCAAGGGGGGGGGGGGGGGGGGAAAGGAGAAACTGATTACACTGATCTTTACGTTCCTCTACTGTCTTTCCTTACACTGTAAAAAAGGCCTCAGGGGTTATCACATTAAAAAAATATCATGTACTGTTAACTAAATAATTACATGTTTGAGCCAAAAACATGATACAATCATGTTGCATAAACAAGATTTTCCACAACTTCAACGTTTATAAAATTGAATCATGTTGAGCGAACATGATTCATTATAGTCAGACCGATCCTATGCTGAAGACCACGAGTGAGATCACGCGATATCACGCAAGTTCACGCAAGATTACGGGAAATCACGGGATATCACGCGAGAATACGCAAGACAATCGTTTTTTTTTCTCGCAAATGGAATAAAATGTATTCAAGGTGAGATAACGTGATTCAATTAACGTCAGCTAGATCTTCCGCCAAAAAAAAAGAACGTCGGGGCGTATTACATTAACAAAAAAATATCATGTACCTTTCACACAATAATGTTTGGGTTTGAAGCGAAACGTGATAAATCATGTTGGATAAACAAGATATTCCGACTTCACATATATAAATTGAATCATGTTGAGCTAACATGATTCTTATAGTTAGACTGATATTGCTGACGACAACGAGTGAGATCACGGATATCACGCGAGAATACGCGAGACAATCGGTTTTTTTCTCTCAACTGGACTAACGTGATTGAATGACTATCTCAACTTGAATACATCTAATTCCTCAAGCTCCCAGCCTCTACCAGAGGCCTGGGAGCTTGAGGGTCCTGCGCAGTATCTGCGATGCTAACAATTTTATATATATATATATATATATATATATATATATATATATATATATATATATATTATATATATATATGTGTGTGTGTGTGTGTGGTTTTTTTTATTTTATTCAATATCAATATTTGTCAAGTTAATCTAATAAAAAAAAAACACAGTGACGTCAGTTCCAAAGCGCTATTGTGTCAGACTCATCTCCCGCTGAAGAGGATCCAGCGACATCAAGAGATTACGGAAATCACGCGAGATAACTGGCTTGTTGGGTTTTTTCAAGGGCAGAGGGGAGATTCCTGGCGTGCATCTACTTAATTTGAAGAAGGTAAGAGTCAAACTATTTTCATCCAAATCCATATAAAATATGTAACTTAAAATTTCTCTACAATTTGCACCATTTTCTACTTGTTCCATACTTGTGTCACATTATTTCATGTTCTGTAGATTAAGTCGGTTAGGTTAAGGCAGATAGCTTTTTGTTTACATTTATCGCCGCACCATGTTAGGTACATTCTGTGCGAAAAAAGTCTGCAGAGCCATATGTAGTGTACAAAGCTGCTGCCAGAGACACAAATGGACCCCAGAAATGTCACAGTTTTGCTCCTCCTGAGCTCCCTGGAGGTTTAGTGGATTTTTAACACACTGATCTAACATCAGTCCTATTTCTAACTATTTAATTCTATTTCAGTAATGTTACTATGAGGTAATGTAGATACACACACACTTTGGTACCTTTCTATCATCATCGAGATTCTTAATTAATTATGGTAATAAAAGTCCTACATTTCAGTCGGTGAAACCTGCAGAAAGCATTGCTTTCTGAGCTTTGTTAAATACCTGTTAGTTATGGATTTCTAGTATATTTTGTCAGGCTAAAACTCTCAATGGATTATCCATTATTACAGACTTGAGCTTTCTATTTTTTTCTTTAAAATACATATTCCTCTGCTGTAAAGATGTTGGGGTTTTTTGGACTCTTCTTTGTTGTCCCCAAATAATTGTAGCTCAGAAACAATATTGAAGTTCATTGGTTTAATTTTGAAATGTTGATGTTTTTTTGTGTTGATTGTTTGTGCTCATTTTGACCTATGTTACCATTGCTTTCTACCATGTTCAATTCACCATTGTTCTGCACATATGTGCTTGCATGTGTCCAGTGGTTATATTCATGAGGCATTCAAGGGACTTGTACTAAAAGATACAACTCAGTTCAGTATGAATTGCATATTTTAATGGCTGAAAATATATCTGATCTCTTTCAGAACATCACCTGTCTGTAATCCACCTGCTTAAGTTCTGGTCAAGGGGCTCATCAGCTATCAAGTTATAGATTTCAGTGGCTAATAGTAAGTTTTGCCAGATCTAAAGTGACTGAATGTAGTGTTAGAGAGCTTATAAAGCTAGGTTCAGCTAAACATTTATTTGGCCAGTCTGTTTTATTTGTCTTTATTTGCGTGGGGATGTGGAAATGTAAGGAGTGTAGTCTCTCTCTGTCTCGTAGATATGACCTGTTTAAAACATTTTACACTTAAACACCGGCATATGCGACGTTATCCATGCCCACACATAGACTGTCCATGTACTTGTAAGACATGGAATGCTTTGCATATTCATTTAAGTAGAAGGATATAGACTGTGTTGACCATTCTGTACTTTTCACATATTTCTTTGGTGATATATCCATGTCTTTATTTAAACATCTAACAGCTTCAGTTAGATGTTTAAATGAGATGTTAAACTCAATTTTAGTCATGGCATAATGAAGGGATACTAACAATTTTAAATATCTTTCAATAGACTGCAAGCCACTGATCACTTTTGTTGTGACTTCCTTTGAATGTAGCTATGTTTTCAAGTGTGTGAACCTATACTGCTGGAGTTTTGAGATTGTTCTCATTGTTTTTTGATCTGCATATTCAGGAAGACACTGCTGAGGTCAGACGAGAGTGCATCCTCAAAGGTCTGTGTGTGTACCTAAATGAAGATCCAGAGAAGCTGGTGAGGGAGTACATGGTATGTTAAATTCTCTTTGTGTTTACAATAGAACTCCTAAGAGTTGTTAAAATACTTTCACCAACTAAGGTCCATGAGTGACTCAATCAATGTCAGTCTAATTTATTTATTTAATTACATGTGAATTGTCTCCCCCCCAATACCCTTCCCTAACTCCCTTAGGACGTTGATGAATGAAATGGTCAAAGCCGAGACTGTCCTCGGAATCGTCATTTGAGCAGAGGGTGCAGAGGCTGCTGATGCACATCTGGATGTTGGGATTGTCCTGGAGGAGGTGGAAGTTATGAACAGCTTGGGCAGTGTATCTTCTGCAATAGTGATGCTGCTGCGACTTATCTACGCACTAAACTTGAGCTACCCTCAAGTTTAGTGCGTTCAGCACTCAACTTGCTCAGTAACTCAAGCATACCTTTGAAGTAATACAGAAAATAATAATGAAATTGGATGGAAAGAACTTATCAAAGAAAGCACAAGTTCTCAATATGAAACTCGCTGCTAAGTTGAGTAAAGTTTCATATGGAAAATGAGTGTTTAAAGTCTGCAGTAGAAAAGATTTATATTGTTACAGTTCTCTAAGTTGAGCAACTATACTGACATGTTTTATGTTGTAAAGAATTGGCTGGGAAATGAAACTGTAACCTTTTTGTAGTTGTTTTTTTATTTCAATGTCCAACTCAGCTGTGTTTTGTGCTGTGTAAAAAGACGATGTATAACAATTCTGAAAATACAATTGTGTTGTACCTTTTCTAATTGTTGAGTGTTCTTCCTACACTTTCACCTAGTGCTATCTTAAAATGCTTGATTAACGCTTGAAAATATGTCTTTGAATTAACGTCATGAAATAATGGAAAGGATTTCCACACGATTAACTAGCTGTCTTTTAGCATGAAGCATATTTGTTGAGCTAACTTGCTTTTAGTGAGTTGGACCTACTGAATCAGGTAGTGTGAAGGTACCACTGTAAAATAAGGTGGTTTCAACTAGATTTACATTCATCTTAATGAAGTAACATCAATGATTTGGTCCTAAACAATGCAGATTAGTTGGGCGGGCTGTATTGCATTACACTGGGTCACGCTATAGTAACTGAGTTAAAGGAACCTTTAAAACATATGTTGAGTCAACACATTTCATTTGAATTTGAATAACCTTAATGAATGGAGTAGAGCCAACTCATTTGATTTACAATCATCCATTGCATTACCATAATTCTGGTTAAGCCAACATATTTGGTTTAAATTAGAACAACCTTAATGAATTATGTTTTGCCAACTCATTTTATTTATATAAGAATAACCACAATATAATACGTTGAGCCAACATGTTTGATTTAGAATCACCCATTGAATCACCATTGTAACAAGTGGAGCCAACACATTTGCTTTACATTGGAATAATCTTAATAAATTAGGTTGACCTAACACATTTGCTTTAAATAGGAGTAACACAAGTACATGGTGCTGAAATAAAGCAAAGTAATCAGGTGGAAATCCTTTCCATAATTTTTTTATGTTCATCCAATGACTTATTTTTTTCAGTGTAGTTTCAGCTTGAGCTCAATCTGGTGTGATGTTAATGAGCAGACTCGTGTTTGCGTGTTTATACCAGGACTGTTTTTAGACATTTAACTGGAGGCAAAAAGATTAGGCGTGTGCTCGGCTGCCTCCTGTTCCTTACCCTTTTCAAAAATGCTGAAATAGTGCTGATTCCCCGTGGGAGTTTCTGAGGAGGGAACCCGAAAAACACAGCAGCTCCGGTGCACGCAGAGCTACTCCCATGACACATTTGTACTAGAGAAGGGGATTTATCTTCCTCTTTTTTTTTTCAGGAGGGGAAAAGTGAGAGGGTGGTGGTGGGTGGTGGTGGTGATGGGGGGGGAGGCAAGATCTGAGATCTCTGCATCTGCTCAGCAGCTTGTCACCAGGAGTCCTGGAGGCAAGGCACGTCACCGTCGTTTGATTAAAGATTTATGCCCTCCCAGAGATGTTTTCTCTCATTTTCTTTTGGTAAACCTTATCTCCTACAATTTGCTGAAAAATGTGTAAAGTAAAGGAGTGACTCTTGCCTTAATTGTTTGGTGGGGATTTTTACAACAGTGCATTTTGTTGGAGCTGAAAGCATATTCACGTAAAAAATAAATATAGAAAAATCACAGAAAAGCTGAAAGATTAAAAATGAAAAAAAAAAAACTACATTTTTAAAGTCTCCACTCTGGTTTTGTGTTATCTCCTCTTCACGCACGACTGGAGGAAAGCTGAGTTTCTCTAAACAGATGTTTAAAAGCCTCCATTCACCAAATTTACATCTGAATTGAGAATGCCTCTGCTCTCTCTGTAAACCATGTGCACCATTGTGGCTCCTCCGTGAATCCAATAAATAAGCACACACTTTTAATCCAGACATTTAAATGGACAAAGCACGTCTTCGAACACGACGCCGTCCATTATCTCGAAGTGAAAGTGCATTTTTCAAAAGCTAAAATTCACAGAGCTTCATGTTTTAACCCCCAGTTTTGTTGCTCCTTTTCCAGATTTTCCAGTCTAACTAATGACGGGTTCTGCGATGATATTTGCGCAGGAGTTGGTCTGCTTCAAAGCTGACTTTGGTATAAAGATGCAGAATGATCTATACCAAGGTTTGGTTTCCACAACATGCCCTGTTCAAAATAGGCACTTTGATAAAGTGCCCGTTCTATTTCCACTTTCCTTTGAGCCAACAGAGTGACTCAGCATGCTGAATCCAACAAAACCGGAAACCATGCTGAAAAAGAGAAAAATATGAATTTATTCATTACTATCATTATTATTTTTCTTTTACTTTTGGTTTTTTTAGTTTTTATATAACGGACAGTATGTGACAGGGAAGAAAAACACAAAAGAGTTGGAATTGAAATTGCAAGAATGGATCTAAAAGCAATACCAGTAAACTTTAAATAAATTAAGTAAAATGCAGTGATTGTAAGCAACGATTTGGCTCATGTTAATTAGGAACACTGTTGATTTTGAATGACATGAATCTGCTGCATAGCCAGTAACGTAGCAACATTAAGAGAGACATGTTTCTGGTTGACCCGCCTCGATTTTGCCGTTTGCTAGAAAAACAAGCAAACGGCAAAAATTTGGGTTTTACATCAAAGAGCAGCATTAAAAACTGACTAAACATTAAAACAACATGTTCAGCTTTTTGAAGCGAAAAACAAGTCAACTTGACATAATGCTTGAGGAGAATGTGAAAATACAGAGAGAACAGAAACTGCAGACCTTTCGAATTTCAGTGGATCGTTCATCCATAACAAATTGAGCAATTTGTTTGCTTATGCTACACAGACAGAAAAAAACAAATATTACCTACATCCATACATGGTGGTCAAATTCATTTAAGGGAAAAGCATATTTAACATAAAAGGAAAAAAAATACTATCTGCATTAAATTTGCTCCTACTTGGAAACTGTCAACAGCAGGATCAACTTCAGCTTATATGAGTAATAAGTAATAGGATTAGTACAGTGAGTTACCACCAGAGCATGAAGCTGTCAGCCAGATTACAAAATGCTGGTTTGATTATTCTTAAGTGGCCCCATGCAGACGTCCCCACAAGGACAGGTCGGAAAAACAGAAACCCTGATTCAAGAATCGGCTTTCATCCTCAAAACGCTTACATGCCAGTCAGTGGGTTCGGGTTAACGCCAGTTTAAAATAGTAAGGAGGCAACAGTTGCTCTGACAGTCATGTGGAAAAGTGAGAACATGAAAACATGGATCCAGCATGTCTTGTGGTGGCAAAGTCCTTTTTTTTTCTTTCTTTTTTTTTTTTTTTGTTGCACAAAAACATGCTCCCTTTTTATTGAAAAAAAAATGATTTGGGACGAATCACTTTTGGCAAAAAAGATAAATAAATTAAAATATATAGCCCGTTATTTGGGAAAATTGACAATATATTAAATTCCACATTCCAGCTATTTGTTGACACTGGACTATTTGCAATAAGTAAGCACAATATGGGAAAATACCAGTATTGTGAAGAATTTGAAAACATGGATATGATTTTAATGTTTGAAATATGAGACAGAAAGGAAGTGAATGATGCGAGGAATTTAGAAAAATAAAAAAAAACATTTAATTTAATTATTATACTGCAAGGAAATTGAGAAAGTAAAAGAATTCAACGATTAACTAGAAAATTCCTGAGAAAATTTAACCGGGGCCTGCCAAGATGTGCCTGTCGTGTTTACATTGGTCAAAATCAGTGTGCGCTACTGAATGTGAAATCTCAACATCTTGTTTCATTGACTTTCAACTCTTTGCACGCCTTTGTAGTTTTAAAAATGTGAAAATATAATTCAGGACTTTATTTCCCTGTAAGACGTTTACATACTGGGTGTTTGTTCGGTCGTCTTTAGTGCAGATAGACCAGCTTGGTGACGACTGAATAAAATAAGACAAAACTGGGCTTCTGGCAGGTCTTTAGGCTGTCAATGCTGGAGGGAAAAAGAGAGAGAGGAAGGAAAAAAACAACCCAGACTCGCACAGCCGGTGGTTTCTTTTCCAAACATGACCTTCAGCAGGCGCCGGGGCAGTTGGTAGTCGCAGAGGGTCCCTGGATGAGAAACGGCTTCTCCTGAGGCCAAAATAGTGTACGGCTCTCAGTGGGTAGGGAGTGAGTCGCAGCCTCAAGCAGAGAACATGTCCTTTAGAGTCTTGCTCACAAGCGCCAGAATGAAGCAGGTTCACAAGTGGACGGGATGCAGCAGCGCTGTGCATGTGGTATGAGATGATGTTGAGCAAGGAGGGAAAACATTCGGTCCCGCCATCGATCCACGTCGAAATCCTTCATCTATCAGTGTTACCGTGAGTGAATAAGCAAGTGAAAAGAGGATAAATGGGGTTAGTCCTTTTGCTCCCGCCCCGGGAGGACATCTGGATAGCACTGTGACCCAGTCCCTGATGAACCGCTGAGAACCGACTGATGGGAGAGTAATTGGTGCTTTCAGAGGTTGCACCATTGCAGCTGCTGTCTGGCAACATTAAAGCTGCAAGTAAGCAACTTTTATCAAAAGTGTTTGTTTTTCTCCCCCCCCACACATTCTTTAAAACTGTCATAATGTTGAGACAGAACAGCATGAAACAAATAATCAGATATCTTTCATCAAAAATTTGTCTGTGAGTTAATTTTGGGTTTATCGCCCAGACAAGGTTGAAGTATTATTAAAAAAATAATACAGAACTAAGTTTTGCTCTTTATTTTATTTCCTCTGCTATTTATCTTCTTCTGTTGGTCCTAATCAAATCATTTTTACAGAATGATTTGTTTTGCAGAGCCAATACACGGAGAAGCTGTTTTTTTTTTTTTTTTGTTTTTTTTTTTTACCTCGCAATTTGCCGACCTTTTTGCCATTTTCCCTCCTGCTCTCGCGTTTGTCCCGAAGGTACCCGGCATTCACAAAATAATTACTGTAATTTGCAAACTAATTTGCATTTACCAGCCGCGCGGCGACCAAAAACCACAGTGTGTCGCGGAAACCTGGGAGACGTTTGGGGGTTAACTTAAGTTGATCATATCAGAACACACAGATATTTGCGTGCTGACTTTCTTTCCCGTCTTTTTCGCAACTGTAGGCCACGACATACGTTCTCAGCCTGCGCTGCTCCAAATATGTAAGCGAAGCATGCAGCAAGTCTTGACAAATTCAGCCGGGAATGCAGGGAAGCACGACTTGGAAGCGTTAAAGTGAGGTTAAGATGAGAG